AAAACAAGCTCTTACACCACAACAGAAACAATCAAAACTTATATTTGCTTTAAACCATCAGTTACAAAATCAAGATTTTTGGAACAGGGTAATATTTACAGATACGAACATTTTTCAGTCTTCTAAAAAGGACAAAATTGTGGTATATAGACCACCAGATAATAATAGATTTAATCCTCTATATGTTGATAAATATCGAGCAGCTGGTCATTTTACACATAGAGGAATGGGAATGGTATGGCGTATTGATGGTAGGTTTGTTGGGCAGACTTATCTGAATATTCGAGAAAACATCATGTTTCCCAGTGTAGAACAGTTGTATCCAGAAAATAATTTTATCCTACAACAAAAAATTGTCCTGTTCACACTACAAATATAGTAAACCAGTGGCTGGAGGGAATAACAACATCGAAACCTTACCACGGCCCATCTACAGTCTAGTTCAGGGCTTCTTAAACTTTTTTATATAGCGACCCCCTTCAAGCTTAGGAAATTTTAAACGACCCCCTCCTCCATATAATGAAATATATATTAACCGTAGATGTAGATGTAATATCGCACTATTTTACAAATAAAATGAGGATTAAAGAATACGTACCCATTCATTTCACACACATATATATATATATATATAATATATATATATATATATATATATATATTTATTCAATAGAAAAAATAAACATTTGTAACAATTTTTTTAATAAAAACATATTAACATCCAACAATATTAATGTGACGGATGTGATTGTTTATTTTTACACAAATAATTAAATCTAGGCTCAATTTGAGTTAGTGCAGAGGTGCAGATCGTAATAAATTTTTAACGTTTATTAAAGCTGAACGGTATTTTGATTTTATGTTAATGTGGAAAAGGCTGATTCACATAAATATGTTGTACAAAATGGCAGTAATTTGTTTATTGCCATTTCCGATAGTAGGGGATATTTTGATTTGATTTCTATCCAAAATTCATGCACAGGCACTTGAGAAAATCTGAGTCGCAAGGTAGTATCACTTGTTAATTCGGCAAAATCTTCTTATTGTGCTTTTAAGTTTAAAAATTAATTTCTTTAATTTCAATTGAAAATTAATTGCAAATCCATTGTTGTGTATCGATATCATTGGGAAAATACCTATGCATGTAAACTTCCATATCCTTCAAATGATTAACTATAATTTTTGTTATAGGAGTATCTTTTTTTGAAATATTGTTACTAATTATATACTCGTCAGTAAATGAAAACATTTCGAGCGATCCCGTTTCCACTCTGTTCTTCCATATAAGAATTTTTTTAACAAAGGCCTTAAGTTTATTTTTTAACATAAACATATTAACGCAGACTCCCTGCATTGATAAATTCATATCATTGATTTTATCAAAAATATCTTCCAAATAGCATAGCTTGAGAAGCCATAAATTATAGTGAAAATAATCGGCCAAATTAGAATTTTGCTCTGTTAGAAATATAAGAACTTCATCTTTTAAAGTTAATAATCGTTTCAAACTTCGACCTCTTGATAGCCACCTAACTTCAGCATGTAGCAATAAACTTGTATAATCCGAATCCATATCAATGCACAAATTTTTAAACAATCGACTATTAAGTGCTGGACTTTTAATAAAGTTAATGATTTTGACTGCATCAAAAAACGCAGTGTTTAATTCTGGTGCAATTTTTTTAACAACAAGTGCCTCTCGGTGAATCATACAATGTGTAAATGTAATATGATCATTTCCAGCTTTAACAATTGCTGTAAAACCAAGATCTTGTCCGGTCATTGCTGCAGCAACGTCCGTGCACACACCAACACAATTTTTCCAATTTAATCCTTCTTTTTCAAAAAACTCATTTACTTTTTTATATATCTTTTCCACGAGTATGACCTTCCAGAGGACGACAAAACAGTATATCTTCATGGATGCTTCCCTCATAAATATATCTTACAAAAAGTAACAACTGTGCTATTTTTGAAATGTCTGTCGACTCGTCCAGTTGTATTGCAAACTTTGAACTGTCTTTAAAGAAGCTGTTGAAATAGATCATTGCTAATGCCTGAAATTCTTTGGGACACAGTGTCATTTGATAATGGAATTTTACTAATTTCAGCAGCATACTGTTTTCCATGAACAATTTCAGACATTCTTATAGCTCCAGGTAGTAAGTTGCTCTCCAATAGTAAAAGGCTTTTTCGTTTTTGCTATCAAATACGAAACTTCATACGATGCCAATAGATATCTATCATTCAAAGTAACATACTTCTCCAAAGTGTTGTTTTCTTTATTTGATGTTTGCAAAAGACGCTCAAAATATTCTATTGGCTTTTTTGATAACGTTGCATGTTTAGTATTCAAATGTCGTTGCAGTTTTGACGGTTTCATGCTTTCTGCAGCCAAAACTTCTTTCAAATTAAGCACACAGGTTGTTCTTCATTGTTGTGAGAAGAGCATGTGAAGCCATACTGCAAATATGATTTGTCATATTTTTTTTTGTTTTGCTAGAAGTCGGATTTGAAGCACTGCGACTTGGTTGTGACGGCATGGCAGACTTATTAGTTGGAATGTTAATTAGCCATTTATCCATGATGGTTAAATAATAATAAATAATTAAACAAAATGTAGTTGAACTTTAACGTAATAATTAAAAACACCAACCGAAAATTACACAGTAAATACACACATGTCACTACGAAGACAAAGCTGAGTCCAAACTGAAGTACAAACAGAAAAATAACTACACTCGAATATTTACCAGTGCAATGACAACAAATTACGATCATATGAACCCCGACGCATGGCGTGTTCAAAGTGTGCAGCGCACAAAGGCACCGTATCACAAAGACGCCGAAAAAGAAGCTTTCATTTTTTTTTATTATTCTTTTATAAAAATAATATGCCGATTCGCCTAGCTTGATTATGCTTCCGTATTGTATGTGTAAGCTGTAAGGCGACGCGGCGTCTGGGTACTTATAATCACTAAGTTATCTTGCAAACACTGACGCCGGCGGCCAGACATTAATGTCGAACGTTCAGCTGAAAATCGAGGAGCTCGTTGTATTTATTATTTTAAATGCTACTTCCATATTTTCATTTATAGGCCCTACATAACAGTTTTGCATTGCCACTTTTTTCAAAAAATAGTTATAATAAAACTACAATAGTATTTTGTATGATTTTTATTTATATTTGTACGTAGTTTGTATACTAATTTTAAAATTTTATTTATAATGATTGAAAAGTATCAGATCTTTGCGACCCCCTTTCAGTAGTCTCGCGACCCCACTGGGGGGTCGCGATCCACAGTTTAAGTAGCCCTGGTCTAGATTTAAACCCTATCGAGAATGTGTGGTGGGTTATTATAAAACGGTTGTATCGGCGTAATTTTATACCTCAACATACTGAAGAGCTGTGACACGGTATACAACAGGTTTGGGAAAAGCTCTATGAAGAAGACAGTTTCATAGTTCCTTTCATGCCGATGGACCGAAGACTACAATGCTGATGAAGATATTACAAAATATTAATTTTATTTTTACATACCTAAATTTAGTATAGTTTTTGTCTTCCAGACCCTAGCTTTCTTGCGAGAGTTTTCTTGTTCCCTCCATTTTTTATTAATAAAAAAATGTGGTTGTACTTATGTTAAAATGTTTTGGTGTGCGCAAATTTAGTTCGCAAGTTGCTGGGTTTTGTCTTTCATACAATCTTTAGAAGCATGACCCTGGCCACATCGAGGAAATCTGTTACAAAAGGATTTTGTGTGACCATAAAGTTGACATCTCATACATTCTGGTAGGTTATGTTTGAAGTATGGAGCTTCAAACTGGACTATCATGTTTTGCAAAACTTTAATGTCATAAATATGCTTATTGTTTAAATTGGGTTCAAGATCAATGTAGAACATTGATAATAGTTTTCTTGAAATTCAGCTGTTAGCGTAGGTATATCAATCAAATAGTGCACATTTTTCAGGACCGCTCTAGTTTGGGTTGATAAGTGTGGAATTTAACTTTTTTCTCTGTTTATACTTTAATTATGTTAAAATAGTCGCTTTTTTGGTTCGGTAAAACTTTTAATTTGATTATTTCCAATTATTTTACAACTATAGCCATCTTTATCAACAGAGTTTATTACGGTTGCAAACTCAATCACATCTAGTACATTGGGAACAAATATTTGTGGTGGTTTATTGTCTGTGTCATTACTTTTGTTGATGGTCTGTTCGGTGTCCAAGTTCTCTTCGTTAAGTGCTTGGAATCGGTTATAAAGATTTGTTTTCTGAACGAAATCAGATGTTTGTTGACGTAAGTTTCTTATTGGACGTTCTGGACTTCGTTTTTTGTTCCGGGTTGGGACTGTGTTCCATTGCGTTTCATCATCGGTTGTTTCCCCTCTCTCTTTATTGTTACAATCAATGGAATGCTGTATCTGAGAACTTTGCGATGACGTATGTTGCATAGTTTGGCATAGAGGGTTATGGGGTAATAATGTTGATAAATTATTGGTTGTAAATTTGTCTGGACCTGTGGTGTTAACGTGTTCGGAATCTGTTGAACGAAACATGGCGCTCGCTGTATATTTTGTTGTAACAATATAGTTGAGGACTTCCGTTGGTTGAAGCATGCCGGGCGCATATTAAATATTTCCAGGCTGTTATTGTGGCCCGGTGTACATTTCTTTCCAATGGAACTAAATTCTATGTTATAAAAATTAAATGTATTACTTTACTAATACCCAAATATGTAGTATTAGTTTATTACCTATAATTACTTTAACATTTAACACAACAAACACTTTTCCGGTTGTATTTAAGTTTTCTAATGTCGAATTAATTACTATATGATAGGGATGATAAGGTAATTATTTTATTAATTCTTTGATACTTGTTTGCTGTTCGAAGGTTAGAACGAGACTAAGACAAATGATCAAATTTGATTATTGTCCAAACAGGACAGATTGCAAATCTTTACACCAACAATGTAAATAACAATAAAACTCGTATGTTCAGTAACTTTTTTTAATCAGCTAGATGAGAAATATACAATAAAATTAAAATATGTAAATTAATAATTTGCTTCATATACAGAGACAGTTCAATATAACTGTAATATTATAACAATTACTTTATTTACAGGATACGTGCACATTCTTCTCAACACTCTCGCCCTTGAACATAACCACTTCATTAACTCCAACAATACTACATCACATTTCATCCAGTCATACTGAAAAATAAAATTAATAAAATTAAAAATACATTATAGGTAAAAGTTTATGGTCGGTATGGACCTTACGTGAGATGGAGTGAGAAACACCTGTTTAATATATTAGGTCCTCTCTTTATATCGCCGAAAATAAATGAGTTGAAATAATAAAAAAGTGAAAATTCAACGTTGCTAAACTTATTGGTTTTATTTGACATGTTGTATTTTTAGCATTAGTTAAATTTGGGCGAAATGGATTTAAATGGCAGCTTACTGTTTTTTATTAGGAATATGCCACAATTTTACTTTACAATAAGTGTAATATAACATTTTGATTTCCACTTCGAATATCGTTTTATATAAATAAAATTTATTAATGTTTCGTATTTTAAGTACGATTTCCGAATTAAAAATCTAAACATCAAAATAAGCATATTTTAAAGTCACATTGTGCCTTATTCCCATTAAAAATAATAAACTGCATATGATGCCACAATAAACAAAAGCTTCATACAAAATTATTTGGCAACATCTCGTCTCCCGATCTTTCGATTTGTCAAAGCACCGAATCAAAGTAAGGACAGAGGTAACGAGTAGAGGTGGGTCGTTGACATTTTTATTGTAAACCGATTTTCGTAAACAAGTTACTATGAATTTTAACCCTCCAACCACCTTCCTCACCCTCTACCACGAAAAACATCATTTTTCGTTTTAATTTATTTTTGTTTTTAATGGGTTGCAATCAATTTCAAAATTTAAAAAAAAATCACATGCATCGTTAAGGCTTTTAGGAAACTTAGACCTATAAATTGAGTGTAAACAACCTAGAATTGCATTTTTTTTTAAATCGTATTAATTTTTTGGGATGACTGCAGGTCTAGTTTTTTTTTCTATTTTGTGTATTTAATCAAAAACTGTTTTTGGGTTTTTTTTTGTGATTTTATTAAATTTATAGACTTCAAAATAAATCCAATTAGGGTTTTTTACAGATTATATATAATTTGAAATAACTGGATCCTTTAAAACATTTAAAAAATGGGCAAATACCTTTAAACTCCCAAAAAACCATGTTTTTCAGGGTTTTTACGAGTTTTGCGGGATTAATAATATTTTTTGAGATCGTTACAACCTCAATCAATTCTTTAATTTTTTACGTTTTATATATATATAATGGCTATACACCCCAGTGTGGGGTTAAACCGCAAATGCTTTCTAGATCCTATTTCTTAAGTGGATCAGTCTTTTTTGTTTATCTTATCTTCTTGACAATATCTCTCCATTTTTTCCTGTCTCTAGTTCTTCCTCTCCATTCTCTGACTCCTACCCTTTGGAGGTCTTCTTCAACTTCTTGCAGCCACTTTGATCTTGGTCTTCCCCTTCTCTTTCTTCCTCCTGGATTCCATTCTATCATTGCGTATGTCACTGCCTCATCGCCTGCTCGCCAAATGTGACCTAACCATCTAATTCTGCATTGCTTTATTTTAGTTACGATGTCTTCCTTAAGTTCTTCCTTAATTTCTGCATTTGTTCTGCTTGTATATTCATTTTGCTCTGTTCTGATTGGTTCTAGTATGGTTCTCATAATCTTTCTCTCTGCTAATCTTAAGTCTTATTACCTTTTTTAGTCAGTGTTTTGCTTTTAAATAATCTTTTGTTTGCAAAACAAGCTTTATTCGCTGCTAATATTTTTTCTTTTATTTCGGATTTCTTTTTCCGGATTTACTTATTGTAACTCCTAGGTATTTGAAGTATTCTATTTCTTCAAACTCAGAATTTCCTATTTTGATTTTTTCTTTCATTGGTTTTTTTCCTAATCTTAATATTTTTGTCTTTTCTTGATTTAATCTTAGCCCCATTACCTCCCCTTTCTCTCTTATTTCTTCTAGCATTTCTTTCATTATTTTTCTGTTCTTTGCAATAATAGCAATATCGTCTGCATATGCAATTATTTGACCACCTCTTGTTCTGAGATTTCCTTTATTTATATTTCGTAGTAAATATTCTAATGCTAGATTAAATAGCGTTGTTGATAAGGCATCTCCTTGTTTCATCCCTTTATTTATACTGGATTCCTCTGTCTCTCCTCTTTGCGTCTTTATGCTTATTTTTGTAGTTCTCATTGTCATTTCTATTAATTTTCTGAGTTTATGTGGAATTTTTAATTTTTTAAGTGCCATCATTAATCCGTTCCTTTTAATTGAATCAAATGCCTGTTTGAAGTCTATGAATAACATTTCCAATTCTAATTTATATTCGTTTGATTTTTCCATTACTTGTTTTATTGTGTATATTGCATCTATTGTAGATCTTCCTTCTGTAAATCCACATTGGTACTGTCCTATTGTCTTCTTTGTGATCTTTGATAACCTTTTTTTTTTATTATTGATGTCAATATTTTATATGTTGTATTTAGTAACGTTATTCCTCTATAATTTTCACAGATTTGTTGGTCTCCCACTTTATGTACTGTTATGATCTGCCCTACCTCCCAGTCCCCTGGCATTTTCCCTTCTTTCCATATATTTTTCAATAGTGCCAGTATTTTTTCTCTTAGTTCTTTTCCCCCATATTTTATTAGTTCCATATTAATTCCATCTTTACCAGGGGCTTTACCATTTTTGCTTCTCTGTATTACTTCATCTGCCTCTTCTTCGTGCACCTCCTCATCGTTATTCATTTCTTCTTGTTATTTCCTCCGTCAAGAGCTCTCTGTAGTAATCTCTCCATACTTGCTTGTATTCTTGGTCCTTTATTATCACTATTCCCTCTCTATTTTTTATTCCGTTTGTTTTGCCCTTGTATTTTTTGTTTTGTTCTTTAATCTTTTTGTAAAAACTTTTCGTATTTCTGTTTGTTCTTTCCTGCTCTATTTCCTGCATTTTTTTGTCTACCCATTCTCTTTTATTTTTTCCTTAAGCAATCCTTCTTAATTTTTCATATTCTTCTCTGCCTTCCTCTTTATCTGTTTCTAGCCATTTATTTCTGGCTTGCACTTTTTTCCTGTTATTTCTTTACATTCTTGGTTATACCATCCGTTTTTTGTTTTAGCCTGACTTTTACCTATCTGCATATTTGCACCTTCTTCTATTGATTTTTTGATCGTCTCCCATTCTGTGTTTATATCTTCTGCTTTTTATTTCTCTTTTATTTGAACTGTTACTGCCTCTTCATATTTTTTTCTTACTTCTTCATTACTCATTTTATTGACATTCCACTTTTTATGTTGGTTTTTTTGTTTTGTTTCAATTTAAACTTTTTGTCTTATAGTGGCTGTGACCATGTAGTGGTCTAAATCTGCACACGCACCTCTGAACGTTCTTACATCTTTTATTGACGATTGTTTTCGTTTATTAATCATTATGTGATCAATTTGACTATATGTTTTCTGATCTGGTGACCTCCATGTTACCTTATGTATTTTAGGGTGTTCAAATTTTGTTGAGCTTATTAACAAATTTGTTCTTGTTACTAGGTTACATAGTCTTTGCCCATTGTCATTCGCGTTTTCGTGTATCGTATGCTTTCCTGCAATTTGTTGTAAACAGTTCACTTTTCCAATCTGGGCGTTGAGATCTCCTAGTACAAATAGGACATCTTCTTTGGGTATTTTTTCTATCTCCTCTTCTACCCTATCATAAAAGATTTCTTTTTCGTCTGCATTGCTTGTTTCTGTGGGGGCGTATACATTCAAGACTGATATATTAAATGGTTTGCTGTTGAGTCTAACATAGTCCATCCTTTCGAATATTGGCTTGAAATTTATAGTTTTCTCTCTTAGGTGCCTTAATATCATGAATCCCACGCCTTTTTGCCCTTGCTTCTTTCCTCCTGAATATAACATTGTAAAGTCTTGTTTATCAATCTGTCCCTGTCCCTCCCATCGTAATTCTTGCAGTGCGGCAATATCTATTTTATACTTTTTGAGTTCTTTTCCTATTTCTAGCATTTTTCCTGGAGAGCATAGTTCTTATGTTCCATATGCTTATTTTCATCTCTTTATTTTTTTCTGTTGTCTTGAACAGACTCTCTGACGGAAAAATCTGGAAAAAATCAAAATACATTTTTTGACAAAATACACAAAATAAAAAATATTAGACTTGCAGCATTCACCAAAAAAGTTATACGTTTTTTCGAAAAAAATAAAATAAATGCATTTTTAAGTTATGTACACTTAACGTATGACTCTATAAAACATAGACAAGTTTTATAAAAGCCTCAACTATGCGTGTGAGTTTTATAAAAATTTTAAATTGATTGCAATCCACCGAAAAAAAAAAAAACAAAAAGATTACGTTTTTGAAGTTCCTGTGTGGGGATGGTGGACTAAAAGTGCGCTGAGTCTTATTTTTTAATCACATAAAACTTAAAAAAATGAAACAATTGATTCAGGTTGTATCGATTTCAAAAAACATGATTAACACCACAAAAACCGTTAAAAACACTAAAAAAACATGTTTTTGGGAGATTTACAGGTGTTTTGTCCGATTTTTGAACGTCCTAGACCCAGTTACTTCAAATTACAATATAACCTGTAAAAAAAACCTTAAGTCTATAAAATGTGAGATAATCGCCAAAAAATCCTAAAATAATAAAGTTTTTGGCCTTGCGAAGGTGACGTACTTGACGCAAAATCTAGAAAAAATCAGGAATATAGTTTTTAATTAAATACACACAAAAGAAAAAAAACTAGAGCTGCAGCCATCTCCACAAAAAAGGTATACGCTTTTTTCGAAAAAAAAAAAAAAAATGCATTTTTATGTACAATCAACCAAGTCGATAAATGTTTTGTAAAAGCCTATGTATATAATATGTGAATACATGACGTTGGCGGAGGAAGGCGGTGGATAGGGACAATTGGAGAGGGGTCAGAAATTCTTGTGATTTTTTTTTAAATTGATTGAAACCCGCGAAAAAAAAATAAAAACGAAAAAATTACGTTTTTGGTGGTAGGGGAGGGTTAAAATTGCGCTAAAAAGTCTAATTTATTAGTCACAGAACGTAAAAATACGAAACAAATTTAATTCTAGGAGTGAGGGCATTTTTCCTGGGTACTGTATCTTGAAAAAATAAATTATCTATCTTAAATATTATTTTAATATGGGATTGAGCCACAATTATTGGTTGTAACGAAAATCACATGTTTACATAACAAATGTTTGACGTTTTGATTTCCACCGCAGAAATCGTTTTCAAAAATGATTATTATCCAAATTCTGAAAATTGTATAACCAAAGTTTTTGTTATTGGTTATGCTATTTCAAAATTATCATGCTGGACTGCGATCTTTTAGGTAAACAGCATATAATGGCTGTACAAAATTTGAGGGTGGTGTTTTTATTATATTATTTTATTATATTATATATATATATAAATATATATATATATATATATATATTATATATATATATATATATATATATATATATATATATATATATGTTACGAGCAATGTCCGAAATTGGACAATCCTAGCAGTCGGACGATTATATCTATTCCGGAGATTGTACAGAAAAGGAGTACAATGCTAGAAGTGGGCGATATTTTCCGTACAATGTTAGGATTGTCCAATTTCAGGCTTTGCTCTTAACATATATATATATATATATATATATATATAGTTTGAGTTTAGTTCTTGAACCTTAATATATATTTTTTAGTGGATTCTCTTGGGCTTAGGTTCATAAAAAAGATATATATATATATATATATATATATATATATATATATATATATATATTATATATATTGTTATGATATGTAAAATCGAGAAAAATATTGGTTTGATTAAAATATTTCAAAGTTCAAAAACATTAAAATAATTCAGATAAGTAGGATAATAACCAACAAACATTTCGAAGAAAGAAAGTTTTTAAATTTTTGGATTACCTGTATTAAACAAAATGTAAGCTATGCATAAATTATTTCCTTTGTGACAATACTTGAGTGACCCGCATAATCTTAAGTGAAATACAAAGACAATTGAACCAGGTTTTCCAAATACATTAAGGCAGTCATTAAAGACAATAGAATAGAGTTTAGAAAGAGGTTTTTGTTAGTTTTTAAGAATTGTAGAAAAATATTATTTGTAAATAAGTTTTAGGAAATTTTATAATTATAGGTAAAAATTTGTTTGTTATCGAAATGAAAAAAAGGGGGAATTGTGACGAGCTTTGATTGGCGGAGATTGAAAAAGGTGGGATAGGTATGTAGGAATTAAAGTTTAGCTAGATTTTTGAGAGAGAAAAGATAATCAGTTGGTTTCCAAGGGTGCAAGGCGAACGGCCGTTGTTCTCGGGTAGTTTCCCAGAGGTAGGAAGCAGTAGCAGTGAAAGTTTGTGAGTTTTCGTGTAGTTAGTGTATCTGACAGAAGCTGATCCAGTAAAATATTGTAAGTCATATTTTTCTACTTATATTCCAAGAGTCACTGTTCAGGCCAACGAGAGATTCAGTTTATCGTAAAGAAAAGATATTCCAAGAGTCATTTTTCACTCAGGCCAACGAGAGATTCAGTTTATTGAGAGAAGAAGAAGCTAGCATAATTTGAACGATTCGTGCATTTGAAGGAGATCATTAAGGACGATATACTTGCAATAATTTGTTGTAAGATTGCTGATTACCTAGGGAGCGGCCACGAGTAAATAATACAGTCTACAAATAACAAGGATTTGGACCACTCATCATCAGAGAGAGATAGTTTTGTTTTCTGCAGTTTTTCTTTCATGGATAACACAATTTTTACACTTAATTTAGAAAGGATATAAATATTTTGATTAGGAGATTTAGAATAATATTTGGATTTGGAGATTTCAACTAATATTGTTTGTACCATTAATTTTGAAGGTTGACGAACGTAGAACAAAAATTTGAGAATCATTATATGAGATTTTGTTGATTGAAAACATTTGAGTATGAATTATTTCAGTATTTTTATTTCAATATATAATGTTAGATCATATATGTTTTTTATTACTCCGGTATTCTTTGGACCTTACCTTTCACATGTAATAGCATAGATATTGAAGCACGAATTTAACCCTGAGATAAGAGAATTAAAAAGAAGTGTGATAGAGTCATAATCATATCATTTAAATAATTTTAATTAATCAATTAATTAATTAGCTAATTAGTTGATTGGCGCACTAAGACTTTAAATATCACAATAATATATATATATATATATATATATATATATATATATATATATATATATATATATATATATATATACTTATAAATTTTTGGTTAATACAGTCTTGTAAGTTAATACAGTTAATAGTTAATACAGTCTTGTAATGAACAGTGAATTTTCTACTTACATTTATATCACTCTAAATTATCATTTCCACTATCATTCTGGCCATCCCCAGCTTCCCGGGTCATATTTTGTATGAGATTTTCGGGGCTTTCTGTTGGTGATGAAACTCGTTGGTCAAAGGGATCTGACGAATCATTGAGCTTGTCATTGGATTGTGAACTGGGCGCCCGTAAAAAGTCCTCCTTTACCGTCTTTTTGTCGCTTTCGTCAGTCTGTTGCTGCTGTTGATACTGTTGAGCAGTGTTCTGAAGATTCTGGGTACCTGCCATTATGGCTGGACTCTGTAGGTTTGGCTTCCGCAATTTGTCACCTAAAAATAATATAGTTTAATGTATGCTGAGGGATCGTTACGATGGTACTATAATTATGAATAGAAACTTCCTGTAGAGTAACAAAAAATTACAACCAGATACGAACTGCATGAATGGGAGTTATATTTTAAATTACACTTGATATACAGAATGAATTCTAATCAAGACCGCGAATGGTTTTCTATGTTCAAAAAACAATTAAGTTCTGTGTAGATAAAAGGAAGAAAAAGGGCTACTTCAGTTGGTTAAAATATGGATTTTGAAAAGGACTCCAATTTTGAAGGCATCATAAATTTTAAAGGCATCATCAAAAAAATGTTTCTCTTTTTTATTTGTAAGTTTACTTTTGTTATTGTTCTTCGGATAGTTCTGTTGTGCAACTTTTATACCATCTCTTCAGTGGGCCAGTTAGAAATCATTTACTTCCTGATATCTCATCTGTAGTCCATTTTGCAATTGGATTCAGATAGTGTAGGCTTTCGTGGCTGGTGTTTGGTAATGGTAAAAATAATTATTTTCGGAGTTTATGGGCAGTGATATGGAATTGTTTCTTTATAAATGAAAAATAAATTTCTTAAACCCTAGGTTATAGTACACCCTGGAAACAGAATAGAATTACTTGAACATTACTATTACTTGAACAATCATATCAGAAGCCCAAACAAAAGAGAAGCGTAATAAAAATTATAACGGATGCAACCTGAACATGCTATCCTGAATCTTTGGGGGGCGAATAAAAACCTACAGGAAAAGCGTTTCATATGCTTCAAAGGACTTCAAATAATCAAGAATAACATCATCGAATAACACCGAGCATAAAAAGGTGAAGCACTCTTACCAAACATTAAAATCATGACGAATAGAATTGGTAAAGTATTAGCAAAACCTGATGTTAAGCCTTGTGTATATTGGAACAACAAACAAGGTACCGAACACAAGACTACCACCAAACTGTATTTAAAGAACCACAGGTGTTTAGAAGAATCACACTACTATCCACGGACATGAGAGAGGCTATCAAAATCCAAAAACAACCGATAAACTTTAATGGTGTGTGTGCATCTAAAGAGGGTATGAATTTCAGAGCTACGAAATACAAACCTTTCTTCAGACACACAGAAAAAGATAATGGATGAGCGATAGACAGTTTGCCCGTTAAAAGTTGCTGACAAAATGTCACGTACAAATAATACTAGATCACGACCTGTAAGTACTTAGAACAATATATCTAGGTTCATTCTCTAGAAGTAATTTATCAATTACTTAATCTTATCCAATAATTCTTATGAACTTCAACTTACTCTAGTTGACATATATTTATTCCTTAAGATGATCTCCAGACTGTCCAGAATTGATGTTTTGATTATTTTATTTTTCTGATATCTTTAACTTTGTTTCTTATATTTTACTTTTTTATACTCCAAATTATTCAAACTTTATTAATTCTTTCTGATATTCTTTTAAATATACCAAGTTGGCATCCTGTGACTTCTTGAAATGTTCTTTGATTATTTCGTTCATTACTATATTAAAAATGGTAGGTTTGGTTTATTTTAATTCATGTTTTGATGTTGCTTTTTAAATCACCCCGCACCGAAAGATGGGTTCTTTGAATTTGATTTCACTTTCCTCTGTGCCATTTTTACGATGTTGTCCACTTGAGCTATCTTAGTAGATATTGTCTCGGCCCGTAATGCAGATTCAATGCTTAACGACAATGGCTTCTGAGTATATGTGCCTGTCTCTCTCAATGTACTGACTATTGCTTATCTTGTTAAAAATTTAGTTTGTTCTATAACGATGACTTTTTCTTCTATATCTGAGAATTTCATTATTGATTTAATATACACCCAGAGCGATTGGGTTCACATTCAATTCGTTGTTGCCATTATATTGTGTTATGATTATGATGTGCTTTTGTTATTAGTTAATTGATTTTTTTCCTTGTTTTCTATTGCCTTCAGTTTTAATCTAATCTATTTCTATATTTTTTGAAAATATAAAACTTATCTGTGAGGATTAAATTATGATTGTTAGTTGTCACTCTTCTATGCACTTTTCTGTCCTCTCTATAAATCATACTGCATTGCTGTTGTAAAGTTTTTTCTATATTTGAAAAGTAATAAGTAGATTTTTAATTAAAATTAAAGTGCTCATAAAATAAAAATTAAATTTTAACTCCTTCATTGAAATAGTAATGAGGTGAAAACACTAAAAAATATATTTTTATAACTGGTTATGCAGTAAAAAGTAAGAGATAAAGATAAATTTAAAATTTAAAGTAACAGAACTGTTCTACTGTGAAAATTTATGTAAGCAGGTGTAGATAAAAATTGATGATTATTAGTAATTATACGTAATATTGCCAAGAATAAGTTTAGATTTGCATCTAAACATACCACATCATGAAAAAATATGGTACTATTTCAATCCAATTTAAAGCTGTAGATAGAAGTTCAAATTTTGTTTTAAAATAATAATATAAATAACAAACCCTTCCGCCATAGTGTAATTTCTTGTTGCTTGAAATATCTTCTATCTTCAGTATCCATTAATACTAAATTTAAAAAGTACCTGACAGAAAACTTTTTATTTATATCCCTCATCGTCGGAGTTAAATCATAACCTGCCAGAAATACACGTATTGGAATACTTTCACCTGGAAAAGAAAAATAATTTAAGGTTAAGCAAATATTAGTGTTTAAAAATTTAGCAGTTACTTCGTTGTACTACTTAACGGAACTGAGTTTCTATAAGGAAATATATCTGTGGAAATTAGAAACAGTGCTCTGTTTAATGATATATTATTAAATATCAGTAGTGTCAGAAAAGAAAAAGCAAAGAACAGAGTATTGATAATTTTTTTAAGTCTTGCAGATAGCCCTGCATACCCATTTTGGCATTTTGTAATGATCTTAGATCCAAATAAAAATTTTAAATTGCAACGCTATCCCTTTTCCACGGGATTCCAACTCCCAATAACACGCTAATAAACAAAATATTCGGTAGTTTTTCGTTGTATAGTTTGAAAAATACCATTACCGAAAATCGGTTTTGCCACATTCATTATGTCGATGACATATAGTCGATTCACTTTTCATTAAGCCAAGTAAATATTTACCTTTGATTTAGAATAATGTGTATTATTCTGATTATTATTACATTATGACATTTATAAAAAAATCATTGTTACTTTTAACTATGAAACTATTCCCTGGTCGATAATATCGATAAAGATTATCCAAGTTTTGAAATCGTCGTGCTGAAAAGATGAGAAATGTTGGAGGAAATGTTGTGTGAAAGGTTGGAGGAAATTCATTTTAAAACCTTTATTAAGTTAAAATATTTTTGAATATATACTCAGTGACATTAGAAGTGTTACCCCCAGAAGGAATAATTTCTTGAACTTAATTTTTTGGCAACATGCTAGATTTACATCAAGAATGAAACGATTGTCAAGAATTTTTATTAACAAGTAATCAAAAAAAAAAAATACTGTGTTTGGCGATCCCGTAGCTGAATACACTCCTGTATACGTCTAGGCATTGACAAAATGAGATGATCGATGCCTGCTTGTGGTACCTCATTCGAAGCAACTTAAGCAACTTGAATTTCATGTATTAACTGTGCCAGAGTCTGTGGAGGATGGTGCAAAGTGAACAGTCTCCTTCCCATCATATCCCATACATGTTTTTTTATAAATAATAAAAATGATGAAAAAACTAAATATTTGAGAATACGTTTTTTTAAGTCTTCTGTTGTAAACGGGTCGTAGGGCAGCTAATTTTCTTAGTATACCTCTTCCATTCGTATAAACTAGCGAAAGTAGAGTATTGGATTACGTTTTTACGTGCCCTCCGAAGCACGGTGGCGACTCAGTTAAATGAGAAATTCAAAAATTTCTGATGTCAGTGCCATAGTGCTATCAGAGTGCAGCCGTAATAATTTTATTTTGTGAGCAGGGTATGCCAGTTGGGCGGCTTCATTCATTACTTAACCAACCCCCGTCATCAAACCATGTCTAAACCTGTGGTCGGTTGCGCATCGTTGCCTAATCGAACACAAGAGTATGGGTCTTTATGGCGCGGTCGTTCGCGACATACAGAGGTTTAAAATCATTCTGAGAATCCTCTCCATCCTCTGCGTTTACTCATTTCGCCCCTATAGCCTTTTGAATGAACTTGTACTATAAAATATACTTGAAAAAATGTAATATAAATAAAAATGAAGTATAAAGATGAACATGACAAACATGAAATAGATATTCACAGACAAAACAATAACCAACAAACAGATATAGTCCATTCTCTCAACTTAAAAATATTTTGATCCATGCATTATCAAAAACTAAAACAGCAAAATTCCTACCTGTCACTATTAATAGCTTAAATAAACTTAATATTAGACTTCTTTCATTGAAAAAAGAAGAAAAATCATGAATAATGGGAGTGTATATTCAGTCATTTTCATTAAAAACTTTTCATTTATAAATACTAATCCATAAACAACTATAAAATTTCAAATTTAACTGTTGTTTTAATTAATACAGTTTTATTTTTTTAATAAAATGTGAACATTTTTTTTAAATACTATCTACGAGCACGTATACTTGGTTGTATAGTAATTTCCAGCCAGAGCCAGTCAGTCAAAATTTATCCAAAGTAATCAAAATACTAAATCAACTAGACAGTTAAGACTGGGATCAGCGAACCGACTATATAGAAGAATATCTACAAAAGAAAATAATCTACCAAGATACAAGGCGATACAAGTTACAAACAGAACTATTTAAAATAGGAAATAACTAAAAAATATATTTAATGTATACAAATTGATAGTAGAAGTATAGAAACAACAGTACATAAAAAAGGTGATTTGATTGAATGCGACAAATAAATGCGATAAGACAGATCGCCCTACTAAATGTAGCATAAAAAATATTCTCTTACATCATATGCTCTAGCCTAAATTGCAGTGAATATAATAACATATCAACCTGGTTTCTGGTCAGAAAAGTCTACAACTGATCAAATGCCAACACTGAGACAACTTCTGGAAACCCCAAAGGAATAAGTAAGTGACACACATACAATATCCTTGTCGATTTTAAATCCATTTATTAAAGAAAAGGCCTTTAAATGTAATGCAAGAGTTTGGAATAGCAAGTTACTTGGTAAACTTCTAAAACTAACTACCAAAAATGTAGAGAGCAAAGTTCGGTCGGATGGAGACCTGGCTCGCACAATTACAATTAATAATTGCGTTCACTCTCTATACACTCTCTTGTACTCTGTTTAACTTAGCCCTGGAAAAAGTCATAACTTCTGAAATCAACACCAATAGCAAAATATTTAATAAAAGCATCCAACTTCTTGCATTTGCAGATAACGTATCTCCAATTAAAGAAGGATTCTCATAGCTACAGGATGAGACTTAAGGAGTACCTCACAACTCCTCAAAGACAGATGCAGAACTTAATTATAAATGGACAAACCATTGAAGCTAATGAAGAATTTGTATATCTTGGCTTTTCTTGTCGATACAAAAAAATCATGATATGAACAACGAAATTAAGGGACAAATCCTCCTTGCCAACAGGCGCTACATTGGTTTATCAAAACTACTAAAATCAAGGAATATCTCGAAAAATACAAAGTATAAAATTCTGATAAGATTAGTTTTTAACGTGTGGAAACTTTTGAAATAAAAATCCTAAGACCAATATACTGAGTCATAAATGACAATGGATTATGGAGGAATTGTTTTAATTTTGAGTAATACCACCTATACAGAGAACCAAATATCAAAAATATTTAAAATCAACAGATTGAGATGGATGGGAGCATGCCTTAAGCATAAAAGGTGAAGAACCAGTCCGAAAATCGATGTTTGAAATATTTTTAGGACAAAGACAATGCAGAAGACAAAAGAACGCTTTCTGGAAGGTGTGAACCCAGATCTACAGGTATTGTGAATAAGAAAGTGAAGAGCACTGGCCTTGAATAGGGAACATTGGAAGGATCTTTTAAGGGAAGCAGAGGCTCATCCAGGGCTGTAGAGCTATAAAGAAAAATAACTTTTTATGTAAACTTAACTCACAGTATAATCAAATAGTAGGTTTAGATAAACTTAAAAAGAAAAAAAATCTACGTAACAATAACAGAATTGAATGGCGATTTGTTAGTATACCATAAAATCTAAAAAAACAATCGATTACATGGTTAGTTCAGCCCATTGCGATATAAATAATTACCAATAATTTACTTTAAATAGCCAACCAATATGATTAGAAAGAAGCTGACAATGTTACAACAAAATGTTAGCTTACTTAATAGTTATAACAAACCGGGGGCAATTTGATGAAGAATCACACCATAACCCATAACATAAGATGATTAAATAATAAACTAAAAAAGCCCTTGGGACATTTTTAGAGGGTCGTTTGACCCAACATGAATCACATATAAATCGATAGTATAATATGTAATAACAACTTTAGAAACTATGCCGCCAATTCTCATCGGTACTCAAAGCATGGGGGTTCAAATTAATGGCTGCGCCTTAGATTTCTTACCCCTGTTCCAGCCGAAATTTACGGCGTTGCAAAAAATTAATCTATACACTGATCCGAAACTTTGTGTATGAATGCCGTACTGTGTCAAATTGTCGAGAATGGGAAAAAGCTTTCCAAAAATAAAAAAAATGCCGCAGAATTTTATTATTTATATTTTTTATTATTAAATTATTATTGTAACATTCTTTTTGTATTACCTACCTAACTTATAATAAATGCTGTACAAAGATGTTTGACAAAAATCCTTCCCTTCCCCTTAATGGTAAGTTTATCTTACCTGTGACTCACTTGTACCGATAAAAATTGACAGCATGCATAGGTTGTTTCTAAAGTTGTTGTTGTTGTTATTACATATTGTAATAGTAATGTTTTCTATGTGATTCATGCTAGGTCAAATTATCCATTTAAAATCTTTCATGTGCTTGTAGTTTATAACGATATAAAGGACGCCAAACTGATTACAAAATAGACAATTACGTATCAAAATGATAAGCAATTTTTAGAATTATATTTAGAAAATTTTTAACAAATACTAATCTTTCGGGTTTGAAATCTAAGAATTTATACTACCGCATAATATGACTGATCGAGAAATGCATACCGCTATTTTTAAATAAACATATTGATATACGATTATATTAATTTTTAATTCTCGTTAGAATTATGGAAATATTTTGTATAAGGTACCAATCTATATTTTTATAATTTCAGTTCAGAGTGACATTTAAAATTGTTGTTGAGTACTATAGTTTGTAAACATCCCAACTCATCAGTAACATTCTTTGACAGAATATTCTATGTGTGTAGAGGTTTTCATGTGTGCGTTTGTAAATGGACAAGGTATAAATCTTCCAAAACCTGATCTGTGTCAAACATTTAGAAATACGATTTTTTGTATAAACCACTGAAAGGAGCATCTCAATCAGATTGCAATGAGTAAACAGATCTACGGGATCTATTTTTGTTAAAGCTAAATTGCCCAACTTGTAATTAGATTAAGATTTTATTCAACATTGCAGTAAATTCCAATAACTAAATTACCCCACTTTTAACGCATACAAAAAAGATAAGTAATTCAAAAAGATATGAAGTTTTATTTGAAGGTACCTTATATCCAATCTCTCCGTAATTCTACGCAGAATCTAATATCTAATATATACAAAATGTTAAAAAATAACAAAACGCAAAGCGAGAAGTAAACATTTAAACGTCTGTATCAAACACAAAGTATAAATTTTCAGATTTCAAATACAATTAATACAAAGCATATGTGAAATGCCCTGTATTTGTCTGAGAGTGTAGAACTAAACGCATTTTTAAATAATTGACAATGATGAAGCCATACTCAGTAATAAGCAATCTGTTCATTTAGTTCAATTTAAAACAATTTAATCAACATGTGACGAGAATGTATTAGTGTCACTCATCAATATTAATTTAAAATTTATCCGGTTAATGTTTAGATTTCTGTGTAAATGAAATCGAGTGGTACAAACTGATAATAATGGTTAACGACATCACCCATGCACTACATTTCTTTCATATATTATGGTTTAATATAATGATATTAAATAAATGTGTATGCATATAATCTCAAAATATACAAGGTTTATAATAAAGACATATATAATACAAATACATATATATACAGTATATATATATATATATATATAATATACAGTATAGGTAAAAGTTTATGGTCGGTATGGACCTTACGTGAGATGGAGTGAGAAACACCTGTTTAAAAAGAGAGAGTATATTAGGTCCGACCCTTTATATCGCCGAAAATGCATGAGTGGAATTAATAAAAAAGGGGAAGTTCAACGTTGCCAAACTAATTGGTTTTATTTGATCTGTTGTCTTTTTAGAATTTGAACAATGTTCTAAGACAATCAAATTTGAGCGAAATTGATTTAAATTGCAGCTCACTGTTTTTTTATTGGAATATGCCACAATTTTACTTTACAATAAGTGTGATATAACATTTTGATTTCCACTTCGGAAATCGTTTTATATAAATACAATTTATTAATGTTTCGTATTTTAAGTACGATTTCCGAATTACAAATCTAAACATCAAAATAAGCTTATTTTAAAGTCACATTGTGCCTTATTCCCAATAAAAATAATAAACTGCATTATGATGCCACAATAAAAAAGCTTCATACAAAATTATTTGGCAACGTCTCGTCTCGCGTCGTCAAAGCACCGAATCAAAGTAGGGACAGTGGTAACGAGTAGAGGTGGGTCGTTGACGTTTTTATCGCTAACGCAACTGAACCGATTTTCGTAAACAAGTAATTATGATTGTTTAACAGTAGTTTCAAGTAAGAGAGTACCTAAATAAACAAACATAATGGCTATTATCGTTTACGTGTATATTTATTGAAGTGAAAGAAACTAATGAAGAATATATTTATTATAACTTGAAAAATAAACTAAACAATACAAATAGTAAATCGTACTTACATTTACATTACACGTTATTATTAAATCGCGAATCGTCTAAATTGACATTTAAAAACAGTTTTTCTACTTTACTTCTTGTTAACTGTATTCTTCTTTTATTTAAAATTAAACCAGATTTTGAACATGTGTTCACATTTACAATATGTTATGAATATAGTGGTTAAGAAAGGATATACATACATATAGGATATATTGTAAATAATATGTTATGCATATAGTGGTTAAGAAACGATATACATGGCGATGGTTTTTCCACCATTGTAATGGACTCTCGATACAGGTGTACGTTTAGATCAGTCATGTCCAATTAATTGATCAAAAATACACCATGGACTTAATTCATCTTTATCGGTTTCTTTTTCTTGTACTGGTTGATTTTCAATAGTACAATCTTCTTGTTCTTTAATTATAGAAGTAACCAGCTTCTTAACTCTTTCTTTTGTTTTTTTAGCATCATTTTTATCAGAAAATCCCTGCACTTTAAATCGTGAATATATAAATGTACATAATGACAATGTGTCACTCTGTTCTATCCTCTAAATCTTTTTGCTAAACCCGATATTAGTAGTTGTACTACGTCGGATACTACGGATGTAAGGTTACCGTTTGCTAAAATTTTATTGCAAGATTCTTGCAGGCAGCATACCATAACAATCACTGAACTACCCTTCAAGTATTTTTGGCCACTCATTGTACTGTTATTTCTTTAAAAGCCCGTAAAATTTGGGAAAGTCGAGAACAACTAATCCAGTCTTCATTATTTAGATTTGATCTAAGTCTAAGTCTGTATTAACCAATGACGTATAATATATAGACTACGCAGTCCCCTATTCTCGATATAGAATCGAGTGTCCGAAAGATCTCGGCTCAAGGTTGAAGGTATGTTTATCAGAACAGCGGCGTGCTCATTTATATGTTAATGACAATAATTATTTTTTTAATTAAAATTAAATATTTATGATTTCTTTTTGTTCCCGTCTATAAGAGAAATAATTATTTTGATAAAATAGTATGGCATTTACTAAAATAGTAAGTAAATAACTATCAACAATTTAAAATAAAATTTGCTTGTCACACAAAATGGAGAAAATGTTTCATACGTCCATGATGTTTTCAAACACAAGATCAACTTCGTGATGCTTCGTAAGAAATCATGAACTTCGTGCATCTTCGTATCAAACACATAAACAATAACAAAGGTATTCATGTTTGGACACTTTTAAAGCGTTCACCGAGTCTATATAAATATACGTCATTGGTATTAACTAATACACTAACTACGTGAAAGACGTTAATTCAAATCTTGACTGTTTTATCCTTTTTATAAACTAATTTCTTTCTACCCATAGGCTGTAGGGATCAGAAGAGTAAAAAACAATTTCTACATTATGTACTCTCCATTCAGTGATCTACATATTTAGCTATCGACAATTTGAACATTTTATTACATATTTAAATGCAGACAACTTTAAAGAAGTGTTGTCCTTAATTTTAAGGTGCGTTTTTGGGATTTTTTTTAAACAATTAATCATTTAATCACATAAATACAATACACAATAAACTTAATTCATGTCTTTTCTCACCAATCATGACAGCAAATAAACTTTTAGCACGAAAATTTGGACCAAAAAAATAAAATTATAGTTTGATGGAAAACTCAAAAAAAGGGAAGGTACGGAAAACGGTGAGAAATAGACGAATGGATAAAATATAATGAGTTATTACAATAAAAAAAAAAGATACTTATATACACCTACAATTTACGAAATAAGAGATAGGTAAACACAAATTGCAGGGATATCTAAAACAAGAAATGTGCTAAAAATGATGAAAAATACCAGAGCAGCTGGTCCTGAAGACATACATGCAGAACTGCTAAAACACACCCATCCGGACTTAATATAATCATAGGGCAATATGCGTCGCACCTTCTGTGGGTAGGTTGTATGGGAAAATCATTAAAGTAAGGGTGCAGCCTCCAGAAGAACAGAGTGGTTTTCGTCCAGGACGCTCATGTACCGACAATATATTTTCTATAAAACAGATAGAAAAAACAATAGCGTTCAACGCTGAATTGCACAGTGTACTCGAGGACCTGTAAATATATGCGGTAAAATCACTTTACGAATGACTTTACAATCAATGTAAACTAAAAGTTGGAAAAACTATTCAGGACCGTTTGAAGTCGATAAAGGACTTTGACAAGGATACTGCCTGTCACCAAGCTTATTTAGACTATATAAATGAAACACTACAAAACTGGAACAAGAAATATGGACATGAGAATAAAAATTGACGACAACTATATCCATAGCCATTTGTTTGCCGATGCCATAGCCTTTATATAAGAAACGACAAAATAGATGGTATTGGAAACACCGAAGAAGACCTGGGACGTAACAAATACAGGATCAGATGAAGCGAATATAATAAATAAAATAAAGAACCACAATTACGACAATTATACTCGATTAAATGTATGGACGATATTACAAACAAAACTTAACATGAAATCTTTAAAACAGTAGTGGAAACTTGCTCACTTATGGCTCAAAGACGTAGGTGACAAATAAAAGAATGGAAAACCGAATAAATGCAATGGAAATGATATTTTGGCGAAGAAGCTGCAGACTAACACTAATGGACAAAGTACGAAAAGAACGAATTAGGGAACTAATGAATGTGATGGAGATACTACATGACGAAATAGAAAAACGAAAATTACTCTGATATGGACTTATGTATGCAAATAATGAATGGGAAAAGAATACCACCACTGAGAACTTGAAGATAGATAACGAACAGAAGGAAAACAGGATGTTCTAGATTACAATGTAATAGACAAATAAAAATAGAAATGGAAAAACGAGACCTCACTGAAGAATATATATACGACAAGGAGAAATAACGATTGGTATGTGATAAATGTCAAACAAAATATGCTGTATAAAGCCACGAATACGTAAATAAGTTTCTTTAATTACGGTATAATTTCCATTGGATATTGTAAAATTGAAATCTCCTAAATATGTTTAGGAGAAAAAAATTTGTGCATTCATAAAGATATTCTTCAATTTCAAATAAATAATAATTTAACCTTTAATAAATAAAAATAAAAAATAAATCACATCATGTAATTAGCAAAGTTAGAACTCACCTCTAACAGGTGCTCCATCCATAATTTCATATTTCGCTATAGTTACATTTTCAGTATATGTATGTGGACCAGACCCTGTGGTTTCTTTCTTAATGATGGCGATTTCCATATGTTTTATTTTTATTCGAACCAATAGAAAATAAATCTTTCCAACGATAACATCTTTTAAATGGTATCTGCAAAGAATTTTAAGTTACAAAATAAAAAAGTTTGTCGAAAGTTCTATACACACACACACAATATATATATAATATATATATATATATATATATATATATATATATATATATATATATATAGAACGGAAAGAATTTCAGGAGGGTATCGATATAGTGATACTAATAGGCGGGACTACCAAACCAAATCGTTTCATAGCTATGATTCTGTAATGGAGCCTTGACAGGTTATCGAAGTCAGAAAATCGTATGTTGTTCAAATTATCGTATTTTATAGTAAGGATTATTATACCTACTTATATTCTATTGAACAAGAATTTAACAAAGATAAATAAACAAACAAATATAATAAGCCAACACATTATTTTAAGAAAAAAAATATTTACTACTCAGTTAATGTGAACTAAACTTTTTTGCAGTTCATCATCAGCTTCTGTTGCATTCACAGTATTAAACATTATTTCTGACAGTGTAAACTCGACACAAGCCTTTTGAAGATTGGAATGAATGCATAATCTCATTTAAAGTGTCTATTACAAAGCGGTTCCTGCCCTTAGTCTGTATTAAAATTTAGTTTTAAAAATTGTCTCTCACAACTTGCATTTGAATGAGGTAAAGGTAACACAGGCAATGCAAAGTCACTCAAATTAGCAAAGAGATGATTACCGTTAAAATGTTTTATTTTTGGCCCACTTTAAAGTAGAATTCATCCAGATTTCTGAATTTTATTGAAATATCCTGGTATTGTTGAAGTTTCCTCCATTTGTCATCAATGTTTTGCATTGTAACATTGTACACATTTCTTTAGAAGGTGTATCTTGCCCATGACCGTATCTGCAAAAATTACTTCTTTTACTTCCATACAAGCTATAATCAACGCCTGCATCTTGGAAAAATTCAGTTTCAATTCATCATATAAATCATTAATATTTTGTGTCACTCCAATTCCTAGATACATATTATTAATGTTGACAAATTTTGAAATATCTTGAGGATCAATTGTTTTAACATTAGTTTTTGGTAAATCCCATTTAAAGAATAGGTAAAAAAGTTCCCTTTCCAATTCATCCACTAATTTTAATTTTATGCTGTTTACGTTACGTTAAGAGTTTAGCGTCCAAGAAATACTTGTTTTCATTTTAACATCTGTATATGTTACATGAGATATTTGAGATAAAAACTTAAAGAAGATGATCATAGCGTCAACTGAAATTATTGTATATTTTACTGGGTATACATACTATTATCGTAGGTTGCGGACGTTAAAATTATCATATAAAACAATAATTATCGTACACCTGGCAATGCAGGATGTTATTTTAAACAATGTTAAATTTGATCGGAAACATTCAGGTTTCAATAGGAACACTAAATATAATTTTGATCTCTCTGTACTAAGTGGAATGCTAGTATCTCTCGCTAATTTTGTAATACTAACGATAAACTTTTTCCATATCTATATACTTGGGGTGTCCAAGTAAGTCGACACCATATGGAAAATTTTTTTTATAATTATTTTTATGAAAAAAAATTATTCTTTATAAGAAGTTTTGAAAATCTAAAACCTAGAATACAATCATCATATTAAATTTTTTCATATATGAGATTTGTCAAAAAATATTAATTTTATGTAAGAGTTAACAATATCTATAATGCATATTTTTTAACAAACTGAGTATATGACCGAAATAATTTTATATTTGATTATTGTATATACTTCTAATTTCGCAAATTTTTAACACAAGGACACATATATTTTATCAATATACATTATTATACATGCTCAAAGATTGAATGCTTACTACCCTGATATGATAACAGTTTTGACTAGCTTTTTGATTTCATAAAATATATCCTTACAGCTGTGATAAGTATGTATTTCTGATATCATGTGTCAAATAGTATAATAATTTATTAAATTACATCTTTTTTAATTTCAATCTTCATAAATGTAAAATTAAATTTAAACTAAGTTGTGTGGGTTTATCACACTTTGTATACCCTTTTGTTTTATCATGCACAATAACACTATTGTTTTTTATCATTGATTCAATCAGACAAAAATAAGGACAAGATTATGGTAATGTTAAGTAATTAAAAAATATACTGATGTTTATCCTATAAGTTTTTAAATTATGGCGACTTATAGAATTCTTACTATTATAGAATATTTATGAAAAAGCAGATTTAAGATTATTAGTAAAAACTACAAAATACAGAATTTAACTGGGTTAGGGTTACCTGACATTTGGACAAAGTGTATGATTAGTATATTCCAAATGAAGATTTGATTATCAGTATCTAAGAGTACATTTATATTGTCAGTGTGCGAAAAGTACATTGAAGTATAATAAGAGTAGCAAAAATATAAGGGATCAAGTTAATGATATTAAAAATTATATTGAAATAATTTTCGAACCTAACAAAAGAAGAAGAAATAAACAAAGGATATGAAATATTCTCTAAATTTACTTTACTTAATTGAAAATGAAATAAATATTTCAATGAAAAGAAAAATTAATTTCTATAAAGACCATATATTCTGTTTAAAAAAAAATTGTTATCTGATGAACAAAAAAAAACTGTCAAGTCAATCTCAACAAGCGGTTTATGTCAAAATTTTTTAATTTTATGCCTGAAATGCCCAAGTAAAATATTACACCTCATTATTTAAAAAGGAATTAATTTTTTCCATTTTGTGAACATACAAACCAGTACAAAATAATGCTCTATACTAGGTTTAAAAGTATGATTCGTACTTACTTTGATTTATTGTACTCAAATTCAATGTGGAGACAGTCTTCAATGCCCACTTCCATTTTAATGGAGTTATTCATTTCTGGATAGCTGGAGAGTGTATGAACAGCTATGTCAATTTCCTTCATTATATCAGCTAATCTTCTGATGATTGTCACTCTCAGAAAATATCTTAATCTCACATTAGTACCTAAAACAGTACCTAATTTCAGTAAAGTTTCAAAGTGTAATTTTGGTAAACATTCTCCAATGAACAGAATGATTCTTAAGCAATTATGAAATACACCTTGATTTATTACTCACTAAGTAAATACTTGGGGAATATTTGTAAACAAAGTGTAAAGTGACTATTGTAATTTTTTATAATTTACTATCTTTCTGTTTGTTACATGTACTGTTTTTTATTTATTGCTTTTATTTTATACATAATTAGGTGGCACCCTTTAATAAATAAATAAATAATGAATAAGCAATATTCCATCAGCATAGCCAAATATAGTACTGAAAATTGACTCAGACGTTTAAATTGCATTAATAAAAAAATATATATCAAAATAATAAGCTGATTTGTTTTCAAAATTTCTTCAGTTTGTATTAGACAATAGATTTATTTTTAGTAAAAATCAGTGTAAATGGCTTAACAATCTTGAGTTTTGTATTATATGTTATTTGTCAACAGTTTAGTATGTTAGAACATATATAAAATAAATTTGATAATAGATAAGATATCAGTTAACTTTGAATAAGTCTTTATTTAGAATTTGAAGAGAAAATAACTGACAGGCCCAATTGCATAAAAATTAAAACTAGTAGAAAATGCATAATACAAAATAATGGCATTCATAGGGAAATATGTTTTGTAATATAAGTAGTATTCACTGCTAATTTATAATCATTCTAAAGGATGATGGATCATATAATATATATCAATGGTCTTATCAGGGTTTTTATATTGGGTTTTCTTGTATTGTTATCAGATCTTAGATATTTAATTAGAATTTAGTTTTTATTATCATACACTGAAATATATTATAATACCCAGTACTTATACTCACCTGTATAAACTTCAAAGGGTTTTTCTACATTACTAAATTCAAAAGGATAACTTGAATGTGCAATCATATCACCAGGTCTTGCAAGCTCTTTAACTAAAGATATGAATTCGTGATGATTTCCTCTGTCATAGAACATTTCAATTTGACCAATAAATTCAATTTTAATGCCTTGATGTTCTAATTTAGTGCCTGGTTTTTTAAGACTAACATTAACCTAAAAAATAATGTATATAATAAATTAAAATAGATGTCCAGGAACCAGCAGATCAGTTATTCTTCATATTGGGTGATTGGTGTTTTGACATTGAACATGCCCAAACCACCTTACCTATACTCTCATTTTGGCCTCAATTGGTGCAACCCCTAGATTTCCCCAAACATACTCATTCTTAATTTTATCATTTTTTGTCATTCTACTCATCCATATATGCATTCTCATTTCTGTCATGATTGCAGATGCATTCATTATTCCTCTTTCTTTTAACTACTGAATACCCAATTCTGTACATATTAATTGTACAGAATTTTCCCTTCTGTTTCCATTCAATCCTTCTATCACACAAAGAAGAGAAATTTAAAGTAAAATAGAACTAAACTAAATAAAACAAAGGATCTATTGTCTACAGAACTCTTTAACCTAACACACTCTAAATAAAAATTAGAAGACACAAAATGTGAATAAATGAAATAATTTTAAAAAAATGAACATACTAGTAACAAAAAGTAGAATTACAAGAAAGATAAGAGACAATCTAAGGACCACTAATAAAGTCACATTATATGCAAAGAAAAATGATAATAAGAAATTACAAGATATTAATGAGCACTACTGTACATACAAATGTGAAACCTGAGTGAGCATTGAGTAAAGCTGAAATATATGTGTTGGAAAGATCTGAGAAAAAATGTGAATATATGACAATGTAAATGTAACAAAACTTACAAGTCACAAAGAGTATTAGTTGGTCATCTAAGTGGATGAAAAGAATAGAAAATGAAGAATACCAAAATGTATCAAAAATCAGCTGAGATGGGAAGACAAGTTTAAGAACTTAATAAATGAACTGTTTTCTTTCAGAAGATATTTGTTGTTATCACTGGTTGTACTGTAGCCAATTGGCTTACTAAAGAGTTTTGTTGGCAACTACTTACATGCAGCAAGGATCAATGGCTTAGCCTCTGATCCATGGCCACAACTGAAGGAATTGTGGAAGAAGAGTTGAAAACTAGAACAATACTTTATACATAAACATAAATAAAGATAAAAACAGAATAAAAGAAAATGGAGAGAAGTAATAAAGAAATAAATAAAGATAAAAACAGAATAAAAGAACATGGAGAGAAGTAATAAAGACATGTAGAACATAACTCTAAAATTTGAATTTTTAGTATACATATACGAAATTTTCATTAAGGCCTGCTGATCTAAATAAATAACTGTTCTAGAGTCCCAGTCTCACTTTTTTTTTCAGACCAATTTTATTAGGTGATTGTCAAAGTAATTTTTTAATAACAAAGAATTTATTGTTATTCACAGTATCCACTTATCCCTTATATGGTTCTGAAATTACTTTTTTTTTACTATTAAGTATGGGGGACCTACTTACTTAAATTTATTGAATTTCAAAACAAAGCAAACCTTAGGTGTTTCTCAGTTTTAACAGAAACTTACCTTTCCTGATATTGTTTCACCATCATAATACAAATACAATCGTTCTTTCTTGCCATCTTCAGTTTTAACTTCTGCAGTTTTTCTATTATCTTGCCCATCTAATGTAACTTCTATTTCGGCTGATTGGCCAAATCCAAAAAAACTCTAAAATAAGACATTATTTATAACTAAATAAAAACATTGAATAATCTCTGGTTACCAGCAAGAAATAACCTTAATGAAATACGCCTACTTTACTTACCATTATATTTCCGTAAAAAATATAATACCGCTATAATAACAATTTAATTTTTTTCAGTATAATGTAAAAACAGCGAGGTTTTAATTAGACTAATCATCAAAGAAACTTCATTTCTAGATATTTTGAACAAATAGTAAACCTTCCAACAAGGATATTAAAAATTACTATTGAAAATGGCTGCCTTTACATCGAATCTGATTTACATCTAACCACATTCATAAACTGTGAAGTTTGACATCAGTTTTATAATGAAAGAAAAAAGAAGAGATATCATTAAGCACAGAACATCAAGAATCATAACAGAGTTCATAAAATCTTCTGTTGTTCTGTCATGTTAATCTTAGACAAGGAAAGAGAGAGGACAGGTAACGTTCATTTAAGAAACCTTCGCAACGTTATGATGTAGATTAGCTCACCTAGTTTATATTGGCCAAGCATATTTTTATAGATGAGAATGAGGTTGGCCGCTTTTCACACCGTGGGGAATTTCTGTCTTATAAAGAAACTGTCCATTATGTTTTTTACATACCTATTCAGCCTTTTCCTTCGGCAATAATGGTCTTTATTATGTCCGGCACAATTTTTAAAGTTTGGATGCTTTCCCTGTCTTTAGCATCTTTCACGTATCCATTATCTCTTCCATTGTGAATGTGAAGCAATTTGTTGGTACCTCTGTCGTTATCATTTAAAAGGTTTCCTCCTTCATTTAGGAGAATGGTGCTTCCGGTAATTGTCTTCTGCGGCTGTTATCTATATTAAAGGCGTTTCCTTTGAGTTCTCTTGCTGAAATCTGATATGCGTGTGATCTTGCGAAATACCGGGTGATTGGAGAACTTCTACGTTCATTGTAAGCTTTTTCTTCCTTCTTACTTCTAGTATGTAGTCTTTAAAGCCTGTTTCTTCTTCAATATTAGCCTCCCAAATTGTCGCACCATCTTTTTCTTGGTCTGCCAATACTTCTTCGTCCATTTGGTGACTTATCTCGTGCTATTGGTACTATTCTATCTTCTGCCATTCTACTGATATGTTTGTTCCACCCTATTTTCGTTTTGTCACCCATCCATTTATGTCTTCTATATTGCATGCTCTTCTTATGTTTTTGCTTCTCTCCCTATCCAATAGACTTCTCCCTGATATTCGTCGGAGTATTTTCATCTCTGTTGTTTCTAGTAGTCGTCTCGTTTTAGATGTGTCAGGTCTTGTCTCCGCCGTGTATCTTAATATAGGTCTAATTGCTGCTGTATAGATTCTTGTTTTTGCGTCTTGTCTTAGGTGTTTGTTCTTCCAGATTGTGTCATTAAGAGAACCCACCGCTTTACTTGCTTTTAAGCTTTGTTGTCGTACTTCTTCTTCAACATCTCCGTAAATAGTTATATCTATTCCCAGATATCTAAGATAAATTTCGATTTTACACCGTAGTGGATATTTAGATGTTGTTATACATTTTGTTTTGTCTGCTGATATTATCATATTGTATTTCTTAGCTGTTATATTGAAGATATGTGTTAATCTTTGGAGCTCGTTTTCTGCCTCGGCAATTAATCCGGCATCGTCTGCATAACATAATATTTGGATTTGTTTGTTTCCCATTCTGTAGCCATGACCTTTACGTACTGCTTGTATTATTTCGTCCATTATAATATTAAAGAAAAGTGGGCTCAACGAGTCGCCCTGCCTGACTCCGCTTTGTACTGGTATACAATGTGTTAGTTTTCCATTTATCTTTGCCTGTATTCGATTTTGGAGGTAGATGTTTTCGATAGTTTGTATAATATTGATTGGTATGTTTCTTTTTTACAATAGGTGTAAGACGTCTTCGACTTGGATGCGATCGAAAGCCTTTGTCAGGTCTATAAAACATAGACATGCTGGTTTATTGGTTTATTGTACTCGATGGCCTTTTCTGTGATTTGTCTTAGTACAAATACGGCGTCTACGCAGGATCTTCCGGATCTGAATCCTTGTTGTTCATCTAATAAAACTACTAGTTTATTGATTTTATTGGTTAGAACTTTTGTGGTAAGCTTAAGTGCGGTGTTCAGTAGATTTATACCTCTATAATTGTTGGGGTCTTCTTCATCTCTTTTCTTGAACATTGGTATCATTATGCTGTTTCTCCATGCGTCTGGTATCTTGCAGTGCAATATTAGTTTTTGTATAATTTTTGTCATTTCTAGGCTTATACTTTCTCCTCCGTATTTTAGAAGCTCGTTGGTTATTCTGTCTGGTCCTGACGACTTTCTATTTTTGAGCGAATTTATGGCTATTTCTACTTTCTGAAAACTGATTTCTATTTCGTGTCTTAATTAAGTTACGTTATTGTGTTGATTATTATTTTCCTTTGCTTTAAACAGTTTCTTCAGGTATCTTTTCCATTCGTTTGCTGGAATGTTATTGTATTCCTTCAATTCTGCCATTTCTTTCCGTTAGTTTCTTATAAATCTCCATATTTGTTTTTGTGTACCGTAGAAGTCGCTTTCCATCCTTTTTGTAAACTGTTCCCAGTGTTTATTTTTTGTTCTTCTTACTAACTGCTTTGTTTCATTTCATATTCTTCTATAGTTGTCTCTAGATTCTGGGGTATTTGATGTTTTGTACTTCATGTAGGCCTCTCGTTTCTCTTTACACTTCTCCTTTTATTTCTTTTCTGAACCATGGTGTATTGTTGTTGTTTCTTTTATTCAGTATGACTTTGCGTTTTCCTAGAGCTTCTGTTGCTGCTTCTTCAATGTTGTTAATTTTCTCCCAGCTCGCGTTTATATTTTCGATGTCGTTTATTTGTTTCAGCTGTATCTTCTGTGCTAGCCTCCTTTGGTACATTTCTCTTGTAGAGTCGTTCCACAGTGATTCTACATAGAATTTTTCCTTGGTGATTTCCTGTAGAAAATTTTGTTTTGGTGTTATTTTCATTCTTATCTTTGAGTTTGTGTTCACTCCCTGCGTCTGCTGAGTTTAAAGTTCGGATATCTAGAATTTGCTTTGGGAGAATTTTTCTATTAGTGACTATAAAATCAATCATAGATTTATGTCTCCTAGAGTTTTCAAATGTATATTTATACTGGAGCTTATGGTCGAAAAATGTATTATTGATTCTGAGTTCGTTATATAAAGGCACAGAGATTAGCCATTAGTTCTCCATTTGCGTTGGCATGGTTTTCATTAAATCTTTGTAAGCTAAAGAATGTAAATATCATAAACAATAAGTTTATCGAACCATACACTAAAATAACTATTTCTAAAAATTAAACCGTATCTACAAAAAATGGGATCCTAAAACATAAGTTACACACAGTTTGAATTTCACAATATAGTGGGAATTAGACAATGTCCAGTTAGTCCAAACGTTGTTTGGACGGGAATAAATATGTATATACCTGCTTTATAGAGTAACAAAAGTAGTTTCACAGAGTAAGGCACGACTAACTTGTGACAATTTTGAAACAAAAAGCAAATAGACAAGTGAGATACAACGTGGATACAACAATAATAAAAAACTTATATCCAGACAGCTCACATAAAAATAGATAATCCAGAGTCGGAGAATTACAAAAATTAAAAGAGAGGTACAGCAAGGTTGCATTCTTTCTCCATTACTATTGAACTTGTACTCGGAAGTCAGTTTATGCAAGAGGTTAGACAACGAAACAGCTGGCGTTGTATTGAAGGGAATCCCTATTAATAAGTTGGGGAGTGCAGATGCCACCGACTTAATGACAGAATTTTGAAGATTTGCAGAGAATTGTCCAGAAGGTTTATATGACTTAAGTTTACATTACGGCTTAAATAACCAAATTTCTAATTATTACCAAGAAACCAAAAAATTATACCCTGCTTATTATTGAAGGCCGAAATATCGGACGTGTATAAATATCTTGGAACTTTAATAAATGGGAATAATGATTTTGCAAAGGCACGAACAATTAGAATTGATATTGCTCATAACTCGTTTATAAAAATGGAGCATTTTTTTTAAATAGAAGTAGAATGTCGAACGTCGACAACAAATTGCGTATGCTTAGTATTAGGTGTTACATATTTAGAATTATCCTATATGGTATAAAGGCAGCCACTCTGACTAAAGCGATGATAACAAAAGTGTAAGTTTAATTTCGAGATGTGGCTTTAAAGAAGAATCCTGAGAATATCTTACGTAGACAGAGCCACGAATAAAAAAGTCGTACAAATACTTTTACAAATTGGTGATTCAAATATCCATATCCAATAAAAAGGACTCAATAATCAGGTTCATAGATGTCCTACCCTTTTGCTATACTATTACCACTGGGCAAACTTAAGATTTAGACCGTTTATGTTTAAAATTTAAAGGTTTAAATTATTAATTTAAGGCTTGGACCTTTTAAGTTTAAAATTTAAGGTTTATATTATTTTTAAAGCTATTTTAAGGCATAGACAAACAATCAATTTTTTTTACTTCTATTTTTAAAATGGTTTAAAGTAAAGTCATCCATTTACATTTAAGTATAGAGGTAAATTCATCGAGCAAAAAGCCAAAAGAGGGAATGTAAAGGTAGTGGGAGCATAATATCGTTAGACAGGAAATGCCATCTTGAGAGGCGTCCCAACTGTCACATGAAAGCTTATTTATATTGAAGTTTTTTAACAATTGCGTCACATTTTAGACTTATCGTTAATATTTATTTAAAGTTTCTCGTCTAAGACACATTCTGAAAACTATTTTATAACTACTGTTAATAAGTGCTGGAAAATTTAAATTTGGCGCATTCGCATTTCCGAATATGTCCGCCATCAGAGGCTACTTTTTTGGTCTCCTTTTCATAACGATTAGATTCCCTCTTTTGTCTTTTTGCTCGATGGGTAAATGGGGTAGGGAGAGTTAAATAGTTGGAGTTACGTCACCAGAGTACAAAGCCCATTAATTATCAGTTTGTTCGTGGTAATTATCTTTCAGTTTATTATTTATCGTTTCTTAAATATCTTAGTTTACTTTATATTTTTGTATTTGAAAATTTGGTGTTGTTTTCTGTAAAAACTTATTTTTAATTATCGAAGAAAAGTTATTTATTGTAGTTGTACATAGTACCTATTGTAGAGTACCTTTCATAAGCGAATATCTTTTTATAAGGTAGGTTAAAACTTTAAAATTTCATTGTGTAATGTTGATGAAATTTTAGAATGCCAGGCACAGGTTGTATTGTGGATA